CTTCGCTGAGCTTTAGCATATCAGAGCACAGCATAGCATAGCATAGCGTAGCATAGCATAGCGCAGCATCGCATATCATAGCATGGGTGTAATAGTTAGTAGTACGTGCATATTGTTCTTCCGTTATTTCCTTACCTCGGCTCTGCCTAGGAGGGTTCTTGCTCGGAAATCTTAAAGGACCGGGCAGTGGAAAGCGCCCCGGGCGGTTCCTCCAGTATCCGCACCGCGGTTCCCCCAGTTACGTCCCCTTAGCTACCGTCGCTTATCTCATTTTAGCTTAGCTTGTTTCATCTTAGCTTAGCTTAGGTTCATCTTAGCTCAGGTGTATCTTAGCTTAGCTTACCTTCATCTTAGCTTCGCTGAGCTTTAGCATAGCAGAGCACAGCATCGCATAGCGTAGCATAGCATAGCGCAGCATAGCATATCATAGTATAGCCCAGCATAGCAGAGCACAGCGCAGTATGGCATAGCATAGCTTAGCATGTCATATCATATCACAGCATAGCACAGCGCAGCATAGCATAGCAGAGCAGAGCATAGCATAGCATAGCACCGCGCAGTATGACATAGCATAGTTTAGCATGTCATTTCATATCATAGCATAGCATAGCGCAGCATAGCATAGCATAACATAGCATAGCATAGTGCAGCATCGCATGGCATAGCATAGCATAGCATAGCATAGCAACTAATGCTGCTTTCCTGGGGGCTCCAACTTCTAGGTAGGGTCGCACTGGGGTAATTCAAAACTATGGTTCATCTTTCGCCCCAAAGCGGCCTGTAGGAGGACATGCCCGACATAAACCTTCTTGCCTTTGCCTGGCTGGCTGGTGCGTAGGCATGGCGTCGCTTGCCCCGAAGCCGATTTAGGAATTTCGCACGTAGGGTATTCCGAATTTCGGTGCATCTTAAACATCATGTTCCATGTTTCATCCGCCTGTAGGGGGACATGCCCGACCAAAGTGTAGCCGAGAGCCACTCCTGCAGCACTACCCGACTCGTGCAGCGGCCCGGCCCAGATGCCGAGCTAGTGCGCGCCGCGGCGCTGCAGTCCCCCGCCGCCCCGGGCGCGCCCCCACAGGTCATTATCGTTTAACCGATCCCCATCCCCATCCCCATCCCCATCCCCATCGAGACCCCCACCATCTCATCCCCCCCGTTGGGATATGCCTTTCGAAATCTGACAGACACTGCCTATATCTCCATTTCGGGGGATAAACCGGCCAGTGGGGCCCAGGCCACGCGAGTGGGGATAGGGATCGGTCAAACGATACTCAGCAGGCCCCGCCGCCGCCGGTCGCGGAGGCCGCCCCGGCGGGCGCCGCGCGCTTGCCGCCCGGCCTCGCGGCGGCCGCGCTCGCGCGGGCAGCCAACGAGGCTCTGCGCTCGGAGGAGGGAGAGGCAGTGTTTCTCCACGCCGATGCGGAGCCAGAGTTTCTCCACGCCGAGGGCGCCGATGCGTCGGCGATGCGGCGCGATCCTCCGACCCCATCTGCTCGGACCCGAGTTGTCGAGAAGTAGGGCATCGACTACAGAATGGATTTACCCCAGAGTGGGTCTTTGCGTCGAACCTATGAAAATATATTAATGTTTTGTAGATTCGGGGGGGGGGAATAATTTGGCGTACAGAGGAGACCCATGCCAAGAGTCACCCTGCTCGCCTCCAGGATGCCCTGGTTTTCTTGGGTTTCGATGGTTTTGCCAGGACGAGCGTGACGTTCCCACACCAAACAAATCCGTGGACGTCCTGGGGTCTCAGGTTTGGGTTTCTTGCGGAAGGTTTCTTATGGTCGAGCCCCTACTGTACATCAACTCTGTAGTTGATCCCCTACTCGAAGTTGGGAGGCCTCCAGAGGCGGCGCAGCTGCCGAGCCCCCGCCCAGGATCCCCCGGCAGCCCAGGTTGGGGGCCGCATTAAGCGTTAAGGGGGGGGGGCAGGCTCAGGGGGCGATGCATCGGCCCTCGGTCGTCCATGCCGACGGGGGGGGTCAAAGCAGGAAAAGGTACCCATACCGCTACCCTTTCCTCGTGTTCCCCTTCTGGGGCCTCCTATGGGAGGCCCTCGCCGCCACTGCTGTATTCGCCTCGGAATCCTGGTCGGAACGCACCCCTGGGAGAGGTCCGGGGAGCAACGGCATCGGTATCTGTTTGTTTCCCCAGGGGTCCGATGGCCCACCCCCCCCCCGCCCATGAACGCGGTTAGCTATTCGCTCTCGGGGGCCTGTCCCCGAGCTTTCGGCGGTGTGTCGCCGACGGCGGGTCTCGGTGGCAAGCGCGGGGGGGAGGCGAAGGTGAGAAGGCCCTCTCAGAAGGCAGCGGGGCGTCTCAGAAGCATTCTGGCCTCTGAGAAGTTTGATGTGTCTTTGGGGAAGGCCAGGGAGGCTCTTCAGCAGGCTGGCCCGCCCCTTCCCACCTCCCCCCCGCGATCTCCGCCAAAGGTCGATGCCTCCCCAACCTGAGCCGGTCGCCTCCCCCCTTGACGTTGCCGCTCGCCAGGCGCATCTCCAGTCGGCGCGCACAGGCCCTGGCGCCCCGCCGGCCCGGGCGTGCCGCCCTCGGCGCGGAAGGGTGCTGCGGCGCTGCCCCGCAGAGGCAGCACCGACGCCCCGAGCTCTGTGCGCGGAGGCAGCCGGGATCTCTGCCAGGCCGTCGTGGACGAGCTGTGCGCCCAGGGCCTCGTGCTCGAGTCCAGAGCTGGGCTGGTGCGGGACCGCATCTCCAGGCTGGTCGCCAGCGTCAGGCAGGGCCGCGCAGCTTCGACGGAGAAGCTCGGGAGGCTGCAGAGCGAGGTCGCGGAGGCACGGGCGCGAACCGCGATCGTGCGGTCGCAGCTGGCAAGGGCACAGCTGGCGCAGGCACAGGCAGAAAAGCGCGCCTCGGCTGCGGATGAGAAGTGCACGCGGGCGGAGCTGAGGGCAGAGAAGGCTGAGACACGGCTCAGGCACGCTCAGGACTCTTCGCTCACGTTGAGTTGGGGTGACAAGACTGTCGAGATCGGTGCAGGCCGTGGATGGCGAGGTGGCCCCGGCAGTCCGAATGAGGGGGGCCCTAGGCAGCCGCCCAAGCCGGAGGCCGAAGGCCTCCCACCTGGCAGACGCCAAGGCCTTCGCAGCAAAACCCCGCCGCGAGAGGATGCCCGGATCCGCGCTTTGCAGGAAAAGCGGCGCGAGCAGGAGGAGAGGCTTTGGCAGGCCGAGAAGGAGCTGGAACAGCTGAAGGCGGGGCGGCCTGCCGTTCACCCACAAGGCCTCTATGCCGAGTCTATGGAGCCCTCCGTGACTCGGCAGGCCACGCAGAACGCGGAGCTCCTCCAACAGCGGCTTCAAGACGCAGAGTTGCGGACACACGAGGCCGAGCGACGCGCTGAGGATGCAGAGAGGCGTTGTGCCAGCCTCCAGCAGCACGCTGACGCTGGGCTCGCCGCGAGGGTTATGGAGGCACGCTTGCAGGAGGCGGAGCTGTCCGCCCAGGAAGCGGACCAGAGGGCGCAGGCGCGCGCTGAGAGCGCAGAACGCCTGGCGCAGCAGGCCAGGGAAGCGCAGGAGAGCGCAGAGCGCCGTGCGCGGGACGCCGAGCAGCGCGCTGCGGAGGCAGAGAGGCGTTGCGCCAGCCTCCAGCAGCACGCTGACGCCGGACTCAGCGCAATGGCCACAGAGGTACACTCGCTGAAGGGGCAGCAGGACCAGAGGGCGCAGGCGCGCGCTGAGAGCGCAGAACGCCTGGCGCAGCAGGCCAGGGAAGCGCAGGAGAGCGCAGAGCGCCGTGCGCGGGACGCCGAGCAGCGCGCTGCGGAGGCAGAGAGGCGTTGCGCCAGCCTCCAGCAGCACGCTGACGCCGGACTCAGCGCAATGGCCACAGAGGTACACTCGCTGAAGGGGCAGCAGGACCAGAGGGCGCAGGCGCGCGCTGAGAGCGCAGAACGCCTGGCGCAGCAGGCCAGGGAAGCGCAGGAGAGCGCAGAGCGCCGTGCGCGGGACGCCGAGCAGCGCGCTGCGGAGGCAGAGAGGCGTTGCGCCAGCCTCCAGCAGCACGCTGACGCCGGACTCAGTGCGAATGCCACCATAGAGGCACGCCTGCAGGAGGCCGATACTCGCGCGCGCCAGCTCAGCGCACAGCTGCAGCAAGCCAAAGGGCGGGCGCAGGAAGCAGAGATGCGCTTGGAGGACACACGGAGGCAGCTGCTGCTCACCGAGCAGGCGGCCTTGGCGCGGATGCCTGCTGGCGCAGGGGGCAGCCGCCTTGACGCTGCCCCCACGAGCGCGGCAGCCGATTCGCAGGCAGGCCTCCATCAGGCTGGCTTCGTCCCGACCCTGGCTTCTGGGGCGTCTTACGCCTCATTGGTCGAAGCCCCAGGCAGCGCAGAAGGGCAAACGCATGTGAAAGAGCCTCAATGGGCAAGGGGCGAGCAAGTCACCGATCCGCTCGCCGACAATTTCGGTAGTCAGTTGGCGGACAGCTTCCACCGGCAGCGTTTCCAGGAGCTGCTTCGGCTACTCATGTCGGCCTGGCACAAGGACGCTCTGGAGGCCCGCGCCGAACGAAAGAGCGCAGAGCAGCGACAGGAGCTGGAGAAGTTGAAGCAGTCCCAGCAGCGAAAGGGCGAGCAGGCCGCCGAGCAGCTGGCGGAAAGCTTCCACAGGAAACGCTGCCAGGAGCTGCTGCGGCTGCTGGTGTTGGCCTGGCACAAAGAGACTCTTGAGGCCCGAGCCGAACGAAAGAGCGACGAGCAGCGACAGGAGCTCGAGAAGTTGAAGCAGTCCCAGCAGCGAAAGGGCGAGCAGGCCGCCGAGCAGCTGGCGGAAAGCTTCCACAGGAAACGCTGCCAGGAGCTGCTGCGGCTGCTGGTGTCGGCCTGGCACAAAGACACTCTTGAGGCCCGAGCCGAACGAAAGAGCGACGAGCAGCGACAGGAGCTCGAGAAGCTGAAGCAGTCCCAGCAGCGAAAGGGCGAGCAGGCCGCCGAGCAGCTGGCGGAAAGCTTCCACAGGAAACGCTGCCAGGAGCTGCTGCGGCTGCTGGTGTTGGCCTGGCACAAAGACACTCTTGAGGCCCGAGCCGAACGAAAGAGCGCCGAGCAGCGACAGGAGCTGGAGAAGCTGAAGCAGTCCCAGCAGCGAAGGGGCGAGCAGGCCGCCGAGCAGCTGGCGGAAAGCTTGCACCGGAAACGCTGCCAGGAGCGAGAGCGGTGCGCATCTGGGTCGAGTCCGGGGAGTCCGTGGAGTCCGGGGAGTCCGGGGAGTCCGGGGAGTCCGGGGAGTCCAGGAATTTGGGGAGTCCGGGGAGTCCAGGGAGTCCGGGGAGTCCGGGGAGTCTGGGGAGTCCGGGGAGTCTGGGCGGTCCCGGAAATGCGGGGAGTCCGGGGAGTCTGGGGAGTCCGGGGAATCCGGAGTCTGGGAAGTCGGGGGGGTCCGGGAGGTCCGGGGGAGTCTTGGGAGTTCGGGGTGTCCAGGGAGTCCGGGGATTTCGGGGGGGAATCTGCATGCTGAGTCCCGGGGAGTCTGGGGAGCCGGGGGAGGAGCGCGGGGAGGAGGAGGCGGCGGAGGATGGAAGCAGGGAAGGAAAGATAATGGAGAAGGAAATATACATAGAGGTAGGAAGGCGACGAGGAAGAGGAGGATGAGGAGGAGCGCTCTTTCCGAGGCTCTGTCGGCGCCACCAGGCCAAGATATGTCCAAGATGGTTTCCAAGACGGACATGGGAGGCCACCAAGGCCGCCAAGATTGCCCAATATGCCTCCAAGACGGCACAAGATAGCCCCAAGATTGCCACAGATAGCTTCATGATCACCCAAGAGGCCTCCAAGACGGCCCAAGAGGACTCCAAGGGAGCCTCCAGCGGACCTAAGAGGCGAAAATCAAGAATTCTCCGTAGGTTCAAGACGGCCCAAGAAACCTCGAGGATGGCCCCACGACGGCCCAAGAAGGCTTTCAGATAGCCCAAGAGACCTCCAAGACGGCCTCAAGACAGTCAAAGGGAGCCCCTGGAGAGCCCAGGACAGACGTAAGAGAGCCTCAAACTGGCCCTAAACAGCCTCCGGAGAGACACAAAAAGCCCTAAGAGCGGCTTTCCTATTCGTCGTCGTCGGAGTCGTCGTCGTCCTCCTCCTCCTCCTCCTCCTCCTCTTCCTTTGCATCCATTTCAGCATCAGCATCATCATCATCATCATCATCAGCATCATCATCATCATCATCAGCATCATCATCATCATCATCATCATCATCATCATCATCATCATCATCATCATAATTATCATCATCATCATCATCATCATAATCATCATCATCATCATCATCATCATCATCATCATCATCATCATCATCATCATCATCATCATCATCATCATCATCATCATCATCATCATTATCATTATCATCATCATCATCAGCAGCAGCAGCAGCAGCATCATCATCATCAGCATCAGTATCGTCGTCGTCATCATAATCATCACCATCATCATTATTATCGTCAGCATCGTCAACACTACCATCCATCATCATCACCACCACCACCACCATCATCATCATCATCATCATCATCATCCTCATGAGTCTCATCAGCATCATCATCATCCACATCATCATCATCATTATTATCATTATCGCCATCATCAACGCCATCATCATCATCACCATCATCATCATCATCACCATCATCATCATCATCATCATCCTCACCGCCATCCTCGTCGTCACCCTCCGAAATATCATCATCACCATGATCAGCCCCATCATCACCATCATGATCACAATCGTCACCATCAGCATCATCCTTCATCAGCGTCGTCGCCGTCATCATCTCGACCATCATCATCATCATCATCATCATCATCATCATCATCATCATCATCATCATCATCATCATCATCATCATCATCATCATCATCATCATCATCATCATCATCATCATCATCGTGATCATCATCGTCGTCGTCGTCGCCGCCGTCGTCGTCGCCGTCGTCATCAGCATGAACACCCGCATGATCCTCGTCATCCTAATCATCGTTACCACGTTGTTCATCTTGCAAGTACGGCCTCTGGTGTCCCCTCGAGCGATAGCCGCCGAGCATGCTGGACTGGCACGGTGGCGGGACTTGCCGCAAGCAACAAGATCCGCCACCCCTTGTCGATTCATCGCAGGGGTGCCTGGCGTGCCAGACCATATAGGTTTTGGGTTTGGTTCTTTTTCCAAAAGAGCTCCCCCTGGGGCTCCGGCGCGTCCCGCCGGGGTCCCGGGAGGATTGTCACGGACCTCAATTCCTTATTTTTTCTGTCAAGACGGCTCCAAGATGGCCTCCAAGATGCCTCCAAGACGGCCAGGAGGGCCTCCAAGACGGCTAAGATGGCTTTAAGATGCTTCCAAGATGGCCCAAGAGAGTCCAAGACGGCCCAAGAAGGCCCAAGAGGCCCCCCAGAGGCCTCCCAAACGGCCCAAGAGGCCTCCAAGAGGTCCTCCAGGAGGACCCGAAGAGGCAAACATCATTGATTTTCCGTAGGTTTTTGAAGGATTTTGGAATTTGCTTCTTCTCGGCATTCCGACGGCTCAAGACGGCCCCAGAGACCCCCAAGATCGCCCAAGAGGCCCCCAAGAGGCCCCCAAGAGGGCCCAAGACGGCCCAAGTGGCCTCCAAGATGGCCCCAAGAGAGCCACAGGACGGCCCAAGAGGCCTCCAACACGCCCAAGATGGCCTCCAAGACCCCCAGGATGGCCTCCAAGACGGCCCAGAAGCGCCCCAAGAGGGTCCCCCGTTGGCCCAGAAAGGCCCCCAAGACGGCTCCCGACGGCGTCAGACGTGCCAGGAACCCACCAAGATGGCCGAAGTTGGCTCGAAGCTGGCCCAAGACGGCCCAAGAGGCCCCCAAGAAGGCCTCCAGGAAGGCCAGAAAAGGCCAAAAACCTTGATTGTCCTAAGGTTTTCGACGGATTTTGACATCTCCTTTTTTTCGGCGGTGCGACGGCCCGAGACGGCCCAAGAGCCCCCAAAGATCGCCGAAAGATCGCCCAAGAGGCCTCCAAGACGGCCAAGATGACCTTCAAGATGCCCACGTGTTCCCCGAAGGCTTTCCAAACCGATTCGGGGAACACATGGTCCGATGGCTTGGCAGGTCTGGCCCCAACGTTCGGCCACATCGGCGCTTCCAAAAAGGCGGGGGGCGGCGGTGATTCGCCGTAGGCGTCTTCGATGCATTGGGGTAGGAAGATGGCTGGGAAGAGGAGGACGAGGAGGAGGGAGCCTTCCTCGGCCTGCGCGCTTCTGTTGCCCCTCCCCCTCCTCGTCCTCCTCGTCCTCCTACTCCTCCTCCTGCTCCTCCTCCTCCTCTTCCTCCTCCTCCTGCTCCTCCTCCTCCTCCTCCTCCTCCTCCTCCTCCTCCTCCTCCTCCTCGTACTCCCATTTGTCCTCGTCGTCGTCGTCCCCCTTCTGCTCTCCGCTCTTCTGTTTCACCTCCTCCTCCTCCTCTTCCTCATCCTCCTTCTCCTCCTCCTCCTCCTCCTCCGATTCAGCGCCCTCCTTGCCTGGAGCTTCTCCTCTTTAAACGCGTGCGACTCCGCTGAGAAACGCTCTGCAGGACAACCTCGTAGTGTCAATGCTGGCCAACTTGCCGAGCCACGCCCAGCCGTGGCGACGATAATGGTTGGACAACGACGACGACCACGACGACTACGACGACGACGACAAAGACAAAGACGACGGAGACCACGAAGGCGACGACGGCGACGACGACGACGCTGTCGTCGCCAGCGACGCGCTCCCGGGGGTGGGCTTGGGGGAGGGAATGAAGGCAGGGGGAGCGCCCTTCTGTGAATGGATTATTCTTCGACGGTAATAGTGAATGACCCTAACCCGGATGACTGCACATCAGCACCGCAAGGCAGCGCCGCAGCGTGAGAAGGAGCAGTAAAGGGTGGCTGCAAACTTGCACACGTCATTGAAAGGAACCTTGAAACGATGCGGCATGATTGGAGGTTGGGGGGGGGGTATCGCGTGGAACGGAAAGCCCCCCACCGGGAAATCGGTATCGGTTTCGTGTTCGTGTCGCGCGTGTGAGTCGAGGCCGCGTGGGCTGGCGACAGGAATGCTGGGATCAATGTTGCCCCCTCACAGTTGACCGGCGATGTCCCGCAGGTGTCCCGCGCGTGTCCCGTGGGTTTCCCGTGGTGTCTCGTGGTGTCCCGCGGCGGCGTGGCCCGCGACTGTCCCGCGGGTGTCCAGGGGGGTGTCCCCTGGCGTTGATGCTGCTATGCAATGCTATGCCGCGCAATGACAAGCTATGCTATGTGATGCGATGCTATGAGATGCTATTCTATGCGATGCTATGCTATGAGGTGCCATGCTACGCTTGAGCTCCACTTGGCCCCCTTCCCCCACCCCAACCTCCTTATCCCCCAAATGATGTTCGCATGGGCATTGAAAACGAGGCGACAGGAGGAGGGGAGGAGGCGGAGCGGAGGAGGAGGAGAAAGAGGAAAGAGGGTAGACAACATCATGACGTGGCAACCTAAAAACCCGCAGCCGCATGCTGCTCAGCGCAAGCAATAGCTGCCACTATCCCCGGACACGGGCCAGCAATGGATGACACGGCCCGGACAGGACGGCAAGTTCGCGCGTGCTCAGGCCGATCCGAACGGACAGCGCCCGCCAAGCTTGCCCGCGCGGAAAGCAAACGACGAGAGAGCAGCCAGAGTGGCCAGTGGGGGGTCTTGGGGGCATCGGTGGGCCTTTTGGATAAGCTTGATTTCTGGATGGGATGGTCTCACTAGCCAAAACATACCCGGACCCGGGGTCAGCTGGGGTGAAAAGGGCCGCCCGCTAGAGCGTTTTCGGCCTTGCCGCCACCTCGTCTGGGTACGGGTCGGTGCCCGAAACAACCACACATACCCGGACCTAGCTGGGGTGGTGGTTGGGTCACCCCGTCTAGGTACGGGTATGTATGGTGGTTTCGGGAGCCGACCCGGACCCAGGGGGGGTGATGCCCCGAGGGCCCCTTGCCACCCCGTCTGGGTA